GGAGAGCTGTGGTCAAGTCTGTCTGCTGGAGCAATTAATACAAAAACCCAGAGGACGAGTGAAGTGAGCGAGCGAGAGCAAGAACTTAAGTCTGTTTAAATGTGATCAGATGGATCACATGCATGATCTCAGCCTTTTAAATAGGTAAGTTACTTGCTTTTGATTTCATAATGCAGTTGAGAGACCGTAAAACTTGTTAAGTCATGGCCAAGCTAGAAAATAAGACAGGCAGGGTGGACGGAGACAGATGTGTACTGTGGTAACCTGAGTCGCAGCTGCAGCAACAAAACCGAATTATTCTCGTCTCCACTGTGAACCTGTGTGCCTCAGACCATAATGACCACAAAAACTCAGTCAACCTCAGCCAGACAACCTGGCTCCGGATCAGGAGTGCACACCTGAGCTCACTGGCACGTCACTGTACTGTATTGGTGAGCTCTCATTAGCGTAGCCCATGTTGTCATTTACACACCCACGCCTGCCCTCAGATCTGAGGTACCGCAACCGTGTGATGAGACCAATGCAATGCAAAAACAACACCTGATACCAGGCCTTTGCACACATGTGGAGGTCTTGAGTCTGTCTGGTTTTAAAGTTAAATTAAATTAGTTAAATTTTAAACATTTATAAATGTAAATGTAATATTTTTTTTGGGATGTGCAATAATTATTTTTTAATTATTCCAATACCAATAATTTGCAGAGTTCTTTACTACTGCATTTTTTTTTAGAGTACAGAAAAAACTGCAAGTGAATATTCAAGTGCATATTGCTTTGGAATTGAGCTCATAAAATGAAAACAGGTCAGGTTTAATTGGTAGTGTGCTGAAAATACAGGCCATTGTGTAATAAATGTTCTTGGATACAGGAAGAACCCGGCTGCCATCCCAGTGGAATCGCTGGTCATGTTTAAAATGAGTTTTGTAGGAGATGGCACACAATTTTCAGTTCAGAGACCCTGCGAAGAATCTATAACCGTAATTGGATAAATTGATAAGATGTAGCGTGCTTCTATGTGTAGCTCATTTATGATTGGTTTAAGAGAGAGTTTTTCTGGTAATCCACGACTACTGTTTAATTGAGTGCTGCTCATGTGATGACCTTTTGTCTTTTGTTATGGTTTAAAACGCGTTCCGTGGAAGTGTCGCCAGTTTTAATCACAGACAATAACTAAAACATACATGGCCACATCCTGCAGGTGCACATCGCTAGATGTATGAACACTAATACACAATAGACATGTTGAGTCATACAGGCTTTTATTTTCCCGTGAGGGCTATCCCATCTCCTGTCTGTCCTCTAAGGGATTGAGCACAATGCAAGTTCACTAAGTATAACAAGAACTATATTAGTGTCCATACCAAGGGACGGTAAAATAGTTTTTTTATAAGTGTACGCTACAACTTTGTCTTCTTCCACTGTAAATGCTCAAGCTTCATAAAATTATTAAATGCTCAAGCTTCATAAAATTACAGTTGTACCACTGATGTCACATGGACTATTTTAACAATGTCCTTACTACCT